TACGAGAGGGCAGGCAAAAAAAATATTATCAGTTTTTTTTTGTTAAATATACATCTACATCTTATCTACAGTTTTCTGTAACAGTATATGTGATATGAGTACCTCTTACTGGCTCACTAAGCCTGCTTTCTGTTGAGACGATTATAGGATGTATTAATAATATTACGTAATTTCCGTATATGGGAGGTATTTGTCATAATGTTGTAGCCGAGGGCGGCGAAATTTGACAAGAATTTGCAGAATTTTTTTTTTGTGTGTGGCAAAATAACAATCAGGTCATTTAGAGCAAAAAATAGTCTTTTGGAAATAACTTGGTCATTTTTTATTTTTTTGAAAATCTGTTACATCATTCTGTAGAAAAGCATAATTCTAACAATTCTATGGTGCTACTTTGTGGATTTCGGCTCTGTGGTTGAACGAGTTTCCTTGTCATAGTTTGTGTCTGATTTAGGCAGTTCAGGGTAGATCACGTGCGTCACGCAGCTAGTTGAGTTTATGTTTCGTCTACCTTACAATGACCCACACCCAGGGTTTCAGATTATAAGGTGAAACCCCTGTTTCCATATATCTGTGTAGTGAAAATAAAATAATAATAATAATAAAAGACTAACCGAAAGATACTGAGAAAACCGAACTTACTGAAGTAGCTTGTGCGTTCCGAACGGACCAGAGAATTACACTATAGCATTTGCACCCCATATCAAGTTCAAAATCAAGTAATCTTTGCCCCAAACACGAAATACTCCCCACAGAAAATGCCGCTTTCCGTTCCGTAATAGGTCGAGCAACGATAGAACACGCTCAGCAAGAGCCTCAATCCTGCCCTGAGCGGGTATTTGAGGCATGTCCTTGACTGTGACATCCGGAACACGAGTTGCATATAAAATTATGCCATCGAGATAAGAAAAGGTGTAACACGAGAAAAGACTTGCTGTCTCTGATGCACTCGGTTCTGCACCAGGCATGGATGGACGGAAAGGACGAGGCATTGCCAAAGGAACAATCAATCCGCTTAGGGTAAGGAGGATCAAACGGGACCATGTTGCAACCTGTGAGGGCGAATCACGAGGTTTTCCTTCAATCGTCGCGTAAGGCCACGCATCAAGAATAAAATAGGCAATGAAGTCGGCGAAGAGGAGTAAAGCCAGCTGGTGAGAAGTTATGTCTCTCCATCGTGATGAAGTGCAGATTGAAGCAACTGCTAGACCAATGGTATAGAACTGGACATGTGGAACGAACCAATAAATTAGCTCGACTTATACCCGATGAATAAATTGACCGCACAAGAAATATACATTGAGAATACAGATACACCGGTTCGCCTGTACTACACATGAACACCTCGAGCGAAAGAAGTGCGAACAGTAACAGCAGCCTGACAAATCTGCATAGCACGATGATGGGACCGTCGAATGCATCCAAAATCTCCAGAAAGCCAGAGGGCCTTTCCAACAGACCGGCCGTAGGATGACCGGCGTCTGCCAAAATTAACTCGTCTTTGCTCTTTTTCTTTGAAAAGAATACCTGCAGTAGCTTTGCCGAGAGGTAGACCACTGACAGAGCTGCGATTGCTGGCGGGGCATACAGCAAGTCCTCGAGTGTCCATCCCGGGCCTAGCAATGTCCGTGCCTCCATAATTACTCTAATGATGGTGAGCACGAGCAGGAGGGCAAAGTTCGGTCACAATTGGGGATGGACTGCGATCACGACACTATACATCATCTTAACAAGAATTGAAGATAAGTACCCACGCCCTTTTAATTATCTGTGTCTATAGATAGATTGCAAGGGTACAGGCCCCCCGTTGCCACCCTCCAAATGCGATCCGCGGATATCAAGGTATATTCAGACCAACACGGCCCCACTTGAAGAGCTGCTCAACGACCTTTGAAGCATAGCAAAACGTATCGAGATCCAAGGGCTTTTTGCACGTTGCAGACATTTCAATTTTCGTTCGTTGGAGAGCAAAACGAGAAGGAACCGGACACTGGACAGTTGAGCAACGGATCGGAATGTCTGCATGATCGTGGGAATGCGCAGATCTAGATTTTGACGTCGGCGAGAGGGAACATGTTGAAGTAACGTCAACACAAACTACTGGCTTAAGCACTGTCAGCGCACTGGATTGCTCTAGATTCATCAGGGCTTAGAACCCTGCGCAGACAATGAGTAGTTTGCACACGAGTAAAAGTATTGCTGGTAAGTTGCAGGGGGCTCTAGCCTGAAACAAATAGCGTACTGATCACGCTACACGCGGCAACGTTAGATTGCAGAGCAAAGTAAACGAACCCTTTTCTTTTCTTTCTGCTAAATGGGGTGGAAATAATCGGTAATAACAGGCTTCTAACGGGTTTTTGCAAAGGGAACAAGCTTGGCTCATGCATATCTGCTACCCTATACATATCTGGATGTTTCACACCCCCAAGTCGTAAGCTCCATTACAGCACAAACGGATTACAATTGCGCATTGTGACTGCCTAAGCGAGCAAATAAGCCATATGGTTAAGTATCAATACATCTTGGGCCGCAATAAACGCAGATAACCTTAATGGAATGGTATGCGTGCGACCCGTCGTTACCCCTTACGTCTTACAAATAAGCAGCCTGGTCTCCATGCATATGATTCCACCATGATATTCGGCGTAGCTCGTGTACAGAGAAACACCAGCACATCCCCTCCCTGCCCTACTGGAAAGGAGTGTTAAAAAACGCCACAACTATCGGTCGACTACAATGCACACGCCCCAATTACTACTTTGCATTTCTCAATCACGCAAACAAAACTCTAAAATGCGTTATGCCAAGCATAAATTTTGGTACGTGGCAATTACGCCGAATTTTGGTGAGATTACAACGTGCACCAACCCACGCAAACGGGTGATGGTGCAAAGTACTACGGTATATAAATATCAAAGAAATCTGTGGTCAAATAAACTACGAGGGTCAACAAACCACGAGAAAAAGTCTGTGTACCATCATGTCAGCGAGCACAAGTCAGCCTGGCAGATCAAAGTCCAAAGCAAAGAAAGTGATGACAGAAGATGAAGTAACCGCGAGCCGGTATAACTGGGACTTTAGTCAAGCACTCAGTGATTTCTCAATGCATGGAGTGACTATTGTAAGCTTCTACCTGTAGCTCTGAAATATGACAATAAAACTGACACAATGCCTCGATATTAATTGAAGAAAGGCATTAGACTCAAAACTTCGTCTGGAAAAGCTGCTCGTTACAAGGCACTGGAATTTATCCCCGTTAAAGATGATACAAATAAAATGGTAGTTACGAAATTATGGGACATACATGACCACCTGTTAGAAGAATACAAAAAAAACAAGATTAGTACAGAGCATATTGTGAGTACTGCTAATGTCAATCCAAACAATACAGTTTATATTGATGTCTATTCTAAATCTTAAAAGCTACTCCTTGATACTAATTTTAGATACGATATCAACCTTAGTGGCAACGTTGCTGTTACGATTCTAGAGATACTAGAGGGCGACAATGAAGTTCTAGTTTTTGAATATGCTAAAGGCGGGAATCTAGACGACTGGAGAAAAGAAAGAGAGCCAAGCATGCCTATAGAAATGGAAGTAGCGTGTATTGGATAGTAAGTACCTGTTGCTTCCTCTTTTATGGGTTGATCTAATTAGTGCACACAAATAGTAAACTTCTGGAGGGGATCAGGGAGTTACATAAAGCAAGAATACTGCATACACAGATCCAGTAAATATGTCTTACTTACTGTTACCTTTTGACATTGCATGATCTGATACAAATACTTTAGCCCGAAAAGAATTCTGTTCATGGAAGAAGCTAATAAATACCAAGGGCTTGATATTGGCAAGGATCTTAAAATTTCCAATATGAGAAAGTGGGTTGATATTTGCTGATATTTCCCACCCATCCTTTTTTGCTGACTATATACAAAGTGCATGCACATTTCGAAGAGGCGAAGGGACTGAGCAATATGATAAATTAGAGGCTAAAATAAGCATAAATCATGATGGGATATATGAATATTTGGATTATCTTCCCCCTGAAGTGACAGATCTAGCAAGTAATGTAGGAGCTGGGGCTTCTAGACTGACCCCTGCAGTGGATGTCTTCTCTGCTGGGTAAGCATTAAAATAATGCATAAGGATGCTTTCTGAGCAGCTGCATGACTGTTACAGCATGATACTTGCCGAAATGCTAAACGTGCGCCCGCCGAGCCATCGAATGACTGCCAATGGTGAAGTGATGGCACTTACAGAATATGATGTATCATATTTAGCAGGGTGTTGTACGACTTGTGAAGAAAATTGGAAAAAAATATCCAAAAAAGGTTTGGTGAGGACACTCATTTGATTGCAATGGTACTCATGAATTACACAGGTAGAGATATAATAAAAAACCTTACAAGGGCAAATTATAAGGAACGGCCATCTGCTAAAAAAGCTGTTGCACTTGTAGTTGAGGTATATGGCAATATTTTCGAGTGAATTATCACATCCTAAGTCAATTACCATTCTAGTGGATCAATCAACTTGGGGAAGATGAGCGCCAACGGCAATACAATGAAAGGGAGAAAAAGCGAAAAGAACAACTCAAAGAGCAACATGAAAGACAGCATTCCAAGTCCTCCACATCTCAGACAGGAAAAGAACAGAAAGTATATCGTAGGTTTACAATTCGGCACGGTAATGGAAAGTGAAGAATGTAGAAAGTTAGATTCATGTCTTAGAAAGGCACATCAATCATAAGGAGGGAATAGATAAAGGTAATATACAGGACATTAGACATTTTCCTTGCATCACTTAATCTTTGATAATCTACAAATGAAATAATGATTGATAATGGAGATCAGATTATAAGTTCAAAAAGCAACAGTAAATAATTGCAACCTATGAGATATCCATGCAAATAAACTACTAAAATGTATTATGCCAAGCATAAACTTTGGTACATGACAATTATGCTAAATATTTTGATAGTGTTGCAACCTGTATCAATCTAAAGATACAAGAGGATGATATTGCAAACATTAGCAAAAAGTCTTTATCCTTGTATTAGCATATATAGTTATAAATTTTATATAAGTACATATTTCAAAGTAACTTTTATATATAGTAGTATAAGAGGAAATATGGGTACCATATTCTTTATTGTTATTCTTAAGATATGTGGTCTTGTACAGTCCTTATTAATCTTAGGAATATATCTAAGTAAATATACTGAAGTAACTTCCAAATATTGTCTAATAATACTTGTATAATTTACTGTAAGAAGCCTAATATACAATATAATATGTACAAGGCATTATAAGTGTATCTAAGTTTTACAGTTTGTTGAAATATTTTTCACTCTTTATTATTATAGTTGTTTGTACAATTGTAATAAATCAATTATATTCAAAGAAATATGCAAATACAAATAAACAATCTAATAACAACCCTAGAGGAGGAAGAAAGTGTTCTTAGACTGTTTGATGTAGCCTTTGCCACTATGCTTTGGTTGTTACTTAGTCTCTACAAGTTGAATTGTGTACATGTGTGAATTGAAGTTGAGCAGGTTGTAGAGGTTGAGGCTATGCCTGTAAGACAAGTTTAGAGTAATTAACAAGTGACAATAAGAGAGAAAAGGTGGACACACTATAACAGTGTGTAGCAAGTGTAAGTAGTTCACCTGGGTTGAAATCCAGAGTGTTATACAAGCTAACTTGGGCTGTAGGGGAAAGTGTGTCTGTACAAGTATGTTACATGTTCTGGCTATGATGTACAATCAGAGGTGTAGTGAACTCAGCAGTAGTTGTGGATGACTTTAAAGGTTTATCTCTGGGACATTCTGGCTTGAAGGGAGAGAGTGAAGTGGATAGTGTGGACAGACTCAGCTTAGGAGGGGTGAGTAGTAACTACTGCTTCTGTTATTCAAAATAGTGTTATAAATAGTACTAGGGAATATAAATGCACACAGTATAGGTCTATTAAGAGTAATATTAAGTATAGGATAGTAGGTGGGGAAGAAGAGTACATACAGAGTCACAAAAAGGATTGTACCTGAGGAATAGTTATATATAGACATTGTTACAAGTATGTGCTCACCAATTGTTACTTGTATTACTGAGTAGGAAGAAGTATGCAAATGTATAGAATTATTAAAGAAGTCATTCAACATTAGTAAATAAGGCAGATGTGTGAATACAAATTCAAAAAGGAAGGAACAAAGGAGAGGAAACACAAGCAGCAGAGTAAGGAGTAGGAGGGATGAAAGGGAGACAAGAAGTTGGGAGGAGAGGGATAAGTAACTATTGTGTAGAATATTATGAAGTGGACTGGCTGCTTACACTTTACATTGAAGGATAGTGTAGCCAGCCAGGTTGTATTGTTACAGGATTTGAGGCTCAGTACAGGCATTGTAGTAGTAGATTAGAGAGATAAGTATAGTAATCTTTATTGTCTAGGTTGTTACTAGTAGAGTGCCTGCTAGTAGGATGTATGTAAGAGGAGGACTGGACTAGGGAGAACAGAAGTAACAACATAGTGTCAGAGGCAAAAAGTAAGACATAGAGAGATAGTAGAGGTCAGAGGCAAGGAGTGACAAGAAGGAATGTATTATTATATACTCTCTATCTTCAGTATTTGATTACATAAGTGTGTGATCTTACTTGTATTATTAAGTCTGTATGTACAAAATGAGTCCTATATAATATATACAATATAATAAATAGATTACTGTAGATTTATAATTAACATAAAAACTATTTAATAAGTGTTTGTAGTGCCTTTTTGTTTTCAAAGTGGTAACATTTGATTATACTTTCAATATAATACTTTTACTATAAGCTAATTGTTTGTTAAGGTCTATCTCAGCTTATTTCAATACCAAGTAACTAATATATTTCATTACTATTAGTGAATGTAATATATTGTCTTAATACATATTTAAATACCATTATTAAAGTAATAGTTTCACTAATAATTGTAATATTGTTAATGTACATAAATGTTATAAGAATTGTTTTATTATTTTGTTTCTTATAAAATACAGTATGATCATAATTAGCTCATTCTAATCCATTTTTAGTAGTAGTTTGGTAATCTTCTTGTACTATTGTCTACCTGCTTGTTTCAATCTGTATAATACTTTATTTAAACATAATGCCTGTCCAGGTTTAATATCTGTAAGTAGCTTGCCTGGCAGTAGTTTCACATAAATGAGTTTGTCCTCATTTAGTTCTCTGTAAAGATATGCAGATTTTACATCTATCTAATGTATCTTATAGTTCTTAGATGCTACTCAAGATAACAATAATTGTACTGTTGATAGTTTTGTTACTAGGGCAAATAAGTTGTCAGAATAGAAGTCTATTCCATTCTTTTGAGTATATCCTTACACTACAAATTGTGCTTTGTATTTGTCTATTTGGCTGTTAGCCAGTCTTTTAATCTTATAAACAAATTTTGTTCCAATTATGTTTGTATTCATAGAAGGGATAGTATATATCCACACATTTTGTTGTTAAAGTAACTGTATTTCATCCTTCATAGCTTTGATCCATTGTTCTTTATCTGTGTGTGTTATAGTATTGTAATACATTAATGGATTACTATAGACTTTGTTAAGGAATTTGTTAAATTCTGTTAGATACATAGCTAGGTTTATATTATCTTTGTAATTTAAACCTATAATTCGTTTAACTAGTCTTTGCTCTTGTGTAGAGCATTGTATGACAGGTTCTTTGTTGTTATTATTGTTATTATTGTTATTAGGAAGAGTCTTATTATTGTTTAATGTATCATTGTTATGATTATTCTCCCCTTCAATCCTAGACATTGGTTTGTCTATGAATTGTACATTGTGTTTGACAGTAACTTTATTATCATAACACACTAAGTGGCCTTTACTGTCAGTATCATAACCTAGCTATCATACATATTGGCCTCTAGGTTGTAGTTTATGCATTTGTTTGTTTTGTATAATACAATATGTACTGAATTCTCATATATTATCTATTTGATAATGTTTGTTATACTGTTTGTAATATGGTGTTGCAAAATTAATAGTAACTCTTAGTGTTCTGTTATGAATAAAGGTTTGATATTGTACTGTATATACCCAGAATTTCATAAGTAACTTTACTAATAACAGACATGTATGTATGTTATTAAAGATAGTCTTATACATACATTCTGCAACTCTGTTTTGTTGTAGTGTATCATGTACTGTTAGTCTGCATATTGTTCCTTGACTTTCAATATATGTAGTAAAGTCTTTACTTAGGAACACTGTATTGTTATCACTTTGAAGAGTTTTAACTCTTATACTGTATTGTGTAAAGAGTCTCATTGTATGCTTTACATATTCAGTGAAAGCATTACTTTTATACTACATAGGTAGCATAGTTACCCATTGTATAGTATTGTCTACAATGGTAAAAAGATATTTGTACTTGCTGTAAGCTTGTACTAGAGCAGGTCCCTAAATATCAATGTGGAGATGATCTCTATAATATTGTGCAAGAGGTGTAGTTCATATTTTTAGTATTTCATTGTGTTGTATATTTGCTTTAATACAATCTGTACACTGTGCATTTTTATTGTCTGTTATCCTTTGACTTATAATCTCAGGATACTCTTGTATGAGTTTGTACAAGTAATCAAAATTAAC